ACCCTGATGATGCTCCTCCACAGCTGCAGCTGGAGCTCATTGAGCTGCAGTTTGACGATGAGTGCCGCGGGAAACACCAGCAGTGTTCTCTTGTTAACTTTTACCGGCAGCTGGACAAAAGCAGGTTTCCAGAAATGCGGTCATTTGCTAAGAAAATGCTGAGCTTATTCGGCTCCACATATTTGTGTGAGCAAACATTCTCAGTCATGAACTTAAACAAGAACCGATTGAGGTCAAGGATGAGTGACTCCCACTTGCGTGGCATTTTACGCATCTCAACCACTGCCCTCAAGCCAGAACTGGTCTCTTTACTGAAATCTAGATCTCAGTATCACCCTTCTCATTAGTGTCAGCAAGTTATCTGTTCCTTGATCAATCTGAAATTGAGTGTTTTGAACGGTAACATGTCACTATTAACAGTGAAAAGCCTAAAGCACCCTAATGCACTTGGACTTATGGCACTTGTTTTTATGAAACTCTTGAATAAGATTTGGTTATAACTGTTGATGTTATGTACCTGTAGATGTGACACAAACTCTTGCTTTCTGAAAGATCTTGTAAAAGACAAGGGCAAAATTCACTTGTTTTAAAGTTTAATGATAACAGACCACTTTGCATTACTTATAACTCCTGTTTAAAATGTTCATGAGGCAAATATATTTAACTCATGGAATTTTAAGGTATTCTATACAGTTTGTTCAATGTTATCTGACTGAATGAAAGGCAGAATTGTGTTTTTAGAGTTGTTCACGTCTGCCTGAGTGGCTTATATTTGTATACATTGTCATTTGAAAAATAAAGGTAATTGTGACAATGATAATTGTTTTATAACAGTGTGTTTTCACGTAACTTTAGTGGTAAAAATGTCAGAGGGAACTATTGGCATTTTCACTTTATCAAATTGGGCCCTCTTTGCAAAAAGTTTATACACCCCTGCCGTACGAGGTACTCATTTGAGGCCGAGTCAACCTAGGGGAGGTCCAGTACCGGTTCATATAATCGTCACCGGTGTTGGCGGCCGTGAGCGGGAATCGAACTCGGGTTGCCGGGTTCGTAGCGCAGCGTAGCGCTAACCACTGCACTATTGTGCACATGCAGGCAGATACACACAAACACCCTTACATATGTAGAGGTGTTACGGAGGGCAAACAAACACACTGGGCGTGGTTATGCCCGTACGCCGAGAGGTGCTTACATCCACGTCCGCACCGTTTAGCATGGGGGGCTAACACGGCGCTGGGATCCCCCACGGCCCCACCCCTCAGTGGGGGAGTTGCTATATAAGGCGGTGAGCCGGAGGGCTCGGGGCAGTGGCGGCTCCTGCAAAATCTCTCAGGGGGGGCAAATTTCTGGATGATTGATAACGATAAGGTCCACCCATGCAATGGATAAATTAACAGCTTAAGCATGTAAAGGCAACTTCACTTCTTTAATATTAATGAAAAATAAAGTGACTCTTACAATACATCTTGTTTGTTTCTATACTCACTATTAAAACAAACCACTCAAGTTTATTTTATTAAAGATTCCACTAGATTTTGATTTAAAACTTTCGTGACTGCAGGGATTCATCTTCTTGGTTATTTCGGTAAAGTCACGTAAAAGGGAAGTAATAAAATAATAAAAATAAAACATAATTAAATTATTCTCACGACGTTTCGGCCACAACGCAAGCAGCCGTCCTCAGGTGAAAACCAGGTCCGTCGAGGTGACAGAGTCTGAATGAAACAGCACACGAGCTTGGAGCATATATATAAGCTGGGCGCCTTGACAAAGGAATTTGCATATCAAGAGGAATTTAGCATATTTATGGGAAATGCAGGAATGTGATTAGTACTGCATATGCATGTGCATTATGCAGGATTAACAGCATCAAAGGGAGCTGCAGTTGCTGCTGCTGCTGCAGTTGCTGCTGCTGCAGTTGCTGCTGCTGCTGCTGCTGCTGCAGTTGCTGCCTTATCCATTTTAATATAACACTATGTATTATTCTACCGACCCTAATGTGTATCACACTGCTATATATTTACTATACAATTACGACACCATACATTACTCTGCACACTGCACCATGCCAGTGAGTGGAACGTTGTGGCCGAAACGTCGTGAGAATAACTTGCGTTGTGGCCGAAACGTCGTGAGAATAATTTTATTATGTTTTATTTTTATTATTTTATTACTTCTCTTCTACGTGACTTTACCGAAAGAACCAAGAAGAAGATTCCACTAAGTGGCGATAAATTATATTGTTGGATGAAACGTGCTTACGTATGATGACGTTAGCACGTATGATGACGTAAGCACGTTAGGGCTTGCCCTCCCGGAAGCCATAGAGAATGCATTGGAGCGCCCACCGTTCGAAAAAAACATCTTTCAATGTAAGTCTATGGGGCTACTCGGGGCGATTCTCAGCCGGAGTGAAATCGCCCAAAAAGAGGCGGTACTCCACAGAACGTGACATGACGCTGATTGGACTATATCCAGAGGCTGACAGTGACGGCTAGCGTGACTCTGTGGTTCAATGACATTGGTGGTGCGTCGCCCAATCGCCCTAATGAAGAAACCGCCCCTGGCTCGGGGTTCAGTGTTCAGCCTTAACCAGAGAAGCAAGAAGACCTGCTAGATAGGCCCTGGGACTCCCCTGGATCGCTGTCCTTCTCAAGACCGACCAGGGCAAGCCAGTGGCGTGGCCCCAAGAGCCCAGAGCCGATGCTCTTGTAAGAGCCGGTCTGGGGACTCGGGGTGCCGTAATCCCAGCTTAACCAGAGCTGGGTTAGCTAGCCTCCCCTAGCCCTGTAGTGGAGGACCTAGGAGTAAGGCTAGCTGTGACATAGAGTGTTGATTTCCCTGTTAGATGGGTGAAGGTGCCGATACCCCTTCGAGTGTTGTACATCTCGGCCTGTTATGTACTTTGTGCTTAATAAATGTGCCTCCAACTACGTCGTCCAAGTCTCCTGGAACTTACTACACATACACTCGTACGCGCGTGTGCACATAACGTGGCCATACGGTTGTCGTAGTTGTACCTTGCAGGTCGGGCACACAAACTCGCAGCCCGCGCGTGTGCCTTTGTCCTGCAGGCATGCTCCACACAAGACGCGTGTCCGCACACCAGCAGGTAGGGGTGGCTGTGTAACGTCCCAGGCTCCACTGGGAAACAGACAAATTTAAAATCCCAACCAAGGCATGGGATCAGAACAAGTGCTAAGGCAGCACCTGACGCGCAAAGACAGCGTCGACTTTTCCCATTTGAAAGCGACGACTCCTCGTCATCATCACAGATTAAGGACTTATGACGATAGACCTGATTTTCATTCAATCAGGTCTACGATTGAATGACAATCGTAGACCTGATTTTCATTCATTTAAGATTTTCTTTGGACGTCAGCTAATAAAGTACAGTAGATTATCGATTATCCGTGCTAATGACGGGGAGGACAGCCGCGGATAATTCAAAATCGCGGACATTAGATTAAAACATTTGAACTATAAACTTCATACATTAATAGTACATCTAGCAACTAATTTACCCGGTGGTATTGAAACAATTCTTACCTGCGTGTGTTGAACCAATGCTGCTTGAAATGATACAATAGCAGGCTTTGACGATGAGAAGCGTAAAAAACTATTCTGAGTTTATTGTCCGCTTATTTTATGGCCTACTCAGATCTTCTTTCGGGGACTCAATTCGCTACTTTTAGCTCTGAACATCAAGCGTAGCGGAGTGAGCCTCTATGAAGGCCAGCAGCGTGCTGTTAGTGGCCGTGTAAGCAGCAACACATCCGTCTTTGTCTCCCGTATCTACACTCGTAATGAACCGAGCACTCATTTAAGGTCGAGCTGACCTAAGGGAGGCTCCCAAGAATGGTTCATATTCGAGTTGCCGCTGTTTCTCCCCGTCAGAAATTAAATTCCCTTCACGCATCTTCATGTGGCGTCTCCTTGAGACGACTGTAACTGCACGAGCTAAAGGCGTGTCTTTCTGTAATCGCCACACTGCCTTACGCGAGACTTCAGTTTTACATTTTCCATCATCGACTCCTTTAACGGATGTAGAAACTTGAACTTATTTCGCACCGTACGTAGCCAACGGTGCTAATCCGATGTGCGGAGCAAGGACACTAAAACACAAAACGCGCGCGCATGGAGGCCGTGCTATAAACAATGACCTTTGATTTCCTGTGCGGGCAAGGACGATACAGTCCACTAAAACTACGAGCACGCGGCACACCACCAGTGGACCGTCTCCTGCCGCGTGTGCAGGCGGTGCAACTGCACGGGCCCACACGGGTGGGGAGTTGCTGCGGTGCCATGCCACGTGAGCAGAGGGCTGAGGTGTGGACTCGAGTCATGTGACTTGGACTCGAGTCAGACTCGAGTCATGAATTTGATGACTTCAGACTCGACTTGGACTTGCATAACAATGACTTTGTCCCACCTCTGAGGTGTGGACTCGAGTCATGTGACTTGGACTCGAGTCAGACTCGAGTCATGAATTTGATGACTTCAGACTCGACTTGGACTTGCATAACAATGACTTTGTCCCACCTCTGGCAGAGGGGGACATTGGCAGGTTTCATTCTTGTGTTTCTTGCACCAGGCCCAGACTCTCACACAGAGACCCAGAGACTCTCACAGAGATCCACAGACTCACCACACAGAGAGACCCACAGACTTACCACACAGAGACTCACCACACAGAGACCCACAGACTCACCACACAGAGAGTCCCGTGTAGGTACCTTCAGGCTGCGTCGACCTAGAGGAAGACCAAATAGGATTCAGATTTTCCCGCCACCGCCTCCAATCGCCCCGACCCGGAAGTAGAAGCGGGGGTGGTGGGTGGGTGCCCAGGGGAGAAGCTGTCGGTTGGGCGTGGTCGCGTTGTATGACGTCACTCGACGGGGCGTGGCTATAGGGGGCGTGGCTATAAGGGGGCGTGGTCACGTCATTCACGCTATTACGTCACCTGTGACGTTGCTTCAGAATTTGAGACGGGTGTGAAGGAGACGGCTGCTTCTGAATCTTCAGCTGCTTCATCTTCATCATCTTCATCATCAACTTTCGAACGGCTTCTGCCGAAGCCATCCAATCGAAAATCTTTACGAGGTGAGCTGTGTGGGTTCGTGGTGAGTATGTGGGTCCGTGTTGTGGGTTCGTGGTGAGTGTGTGGATCCGTGTTGCGGGTTCGTGATGAGTGTGTGGGTCTGTGTTGTGGGTTCTCGGTGAGGGTGTGAGTCCGTAGTGAGGATGCGGGTTCGTGGTGAGGTTACAAGTTCGTGATGAGGATGTGGGTTCATAGTGAGTGTGTGGGTCCGTAGTGAGAATGTGGGTCCGTAGTGAGGATGTGGGTTGGTGGTGAGGATGTGAGTTTGTGGTGAATGTGTGAGTCCGTGTTGACGATGTGAGTCCACTTGTGATAGCGGTGACATCGCCCTCCACTGACTCTCTCCTCCGTCCCCCTCTCCACTCTCCACGCAGAGACGCTGAGAGATTTACGGAGCACAACAACGCTACTCTCAGAATTAGCGCCATGGTATGCGTGACCCCCTTCACTCAATATATGAACCACACCAGGACTTACAAACACCACCCACACTGATGAACACCCTCACTTACAAACACCACACCAACACCCTCACTGACGAGCACCTCACTGACGAACATCCTCACTTACGAACACCACCCACACCTACAAACACCACCCACACCTACAAACACCACCGACACTTACGAACACCAACACTTACGAACACTACCCACACTTACGAACATTACCCACCTACGAACACCCACAATTACGAACACTACTCACACTTATGAACACCCACACTTACAAACACCCACACCTATGAACACATTTTTGTTACAGCCTCAAGGGGACCGTTGTCTTTGTGTGTGTGTTGACGAGTCTACTGCACCTTTGTCTATGTGTGTGTATGTGGGGAGCGGTAGTGTAGCGGTTAGCGCGCTGCGCTATGAACCTGGCGACCCGGGTTCGATTCCCGCTCACGGCTAACACCAGTGACGATTATCTGAACCGGTCCTGGGCCTCCCCTAGGTCGACTCAGCCTTAAATGAGTACCTGGTGCGGTGTGTAAACATCGCCACTAGGGAGACAAAGGCGGTCGGGCGTGGTGCTGGCCACCCACCCCCTCGTGTACCGTTCCGGCCTTCATAGGTGCTCGCTAACAGCACTTGCCCCTACAGTCTGTTCAGGCTATACCGGGGATCTTTGTCTTTATCTTTGTATATGTATGTGTGTAGACGAGTCGAGCTGGAGCGAGTGGGAGGCAGCCTCCGTCTATCACCACGTGGAGTGCGTTCACCTCCGGGACCGGATTAATCCGCAGCAAATCACCCAAAGGTGAGAGAGAGGAGCAGGAACATCATCAAAGTCTAAGAATGATAGCAGCTCAAATAGCAGCAGCTCAACCAAGTGGCCTGATATCAAATCATCATCATTGTAATCGCTTGGAAATGCACAGCAGCAGCGAAAAACATATTCTTGGTTCTTTCGGTAAAGCCACGTAGAATGGAAATAATAAAATAATGAAAATTGAACATTAATAAAATTTAATTCTCACGAAGTTTCGGCCACAAAGCAAGCAGCCATCCTCAGGTGAAGAACAGAGCTGTTGGAAAGACAGCGTCCTAATGAACACTGATAAGTTTCGATTTAAAGCTTTCGTGACTGCAGGGATTCATCTTCTTGGTTCTTTCGGTAAAGTCACGTAGAAGGAAAATAATAAAATAATAAAAATAAAACAATAAAATAATTCTCACGACGTTTCGGCCCCAACGCAAGCAGCCGTCTTCAGGTGGAGAACAGGTCTGTCAAGTAGACAGAGTCTGAAGACGGCTGCTTGCGTTGTGGCCGAAACGTCGTGAGAATTATTTTATTATGTTTTATTTTTATTATTTTATTATTTTCCTTCTACGTGACTTTACCGAAAGAACCAAGAATATGAATCCCTGCAGTCACAAAAGCTTTAAAGCGAAAAAACACTTTGATAAAAGCGTGGCGATGGTGATCCCTCAAAATGTGAAGGGGAACAAATCCACGCAATGACCACCACAGAGACCCACAGAGACACCCATATACACAGAGACCCACAGACACCCACAGAGACACACATAGAGACCCTTAGACCCACAGAGACACCTATAGACACATCAAGACCCACAGATATACCCATAGATACAGAGACACCCATAGAGACCCATAGACACAGAGATACCCAAGGAGACCCCAAAGACACATAGAGACACCCTAAGAGACCCATAAACACACAGAGACACCCCACAAAGAACTAGCTACGTGCAGTGTGAACGAAGTTCATTATCCGTACATGCATCCTGTACCGCTCAGTGGGTCTCTGAGTATCAGTCTCTGTGGGTCTATATGGTTTTATACGAGTATGGGTCTCTGTGGGTCTCTGAGGATCTTTGTGGTTCTCTGAGTCTCTACGAGTCTGTATCAACGTGCACTTAGAGCATATGGCTGCCACATGGCGATGACGATGATGACGACGACAATGATACTGATGATGACGATGATGATGACGATGATGATGACGATGATGATGATGATGACGGTGATGATGATGACGACGACGATGACGTTGATGATGTTGATGATAATGATGATGACGATGACGACGACCACGATGATGACAACAATGATGATGACAACGATGATCATTACGACGATGATGACAATGATGACAATATTGACAATGATGATGACGATGACAGTGATGACGATGACGACGATAATGATGATGATGACGACGACGATTACGATGATTATACCAGCCACTTCGGTGGGGGGCTTAACCTGGTGTGTGCGTAAACAAAATTAGTTTAAAGTTTAAGTTGTTGTTGTCACGTGTGCAGCGATCCTTAGTCTCTTCAAGCCTCACCTGACTGAGCGCCAGAAGCTGGAGCTGGCCACCATGCAGGAAGTTTGGTTCTTCACTCTGGATGGGGAAGGAAGCTCACGAGGGGGAGTGAAGAACGGAGAATTTGATGACGACGACAAAAACTACATCCTTGTGAGACTCACACACAGACACACACAAAGATACAGACACACAGACAATAACAACAACCGCCATTCGCCACTAAGTGGCGGTGATGCCACCACGACGCTTGTGCCAGGCCATGTGCACCTTGAGGCCACGTGAAGTGTCGAACGCCCGCTGGCAGGAGGTCACGGGACAGACCCAGGTGCCACGGGTTGACTGACTGAGACGACTGACTGATGTACCACCTGTGCCCCCTACTGTGCCAACTTGCTGTGCTCTAGCCACCCGGCGCTCCGCTCGTTGTTGTGAGCGTCGCTCCTCCGCCCTCTGTTGTTGTTAGAGGGCAACTGCGTCCAACTGCCCAGTAGCATCCTTCACGAGCCTCCTCCACGAGCCTCCTCCACAGAGGCCGATCTTGACACCGCTGGTACCAGTCATTGGCAAGTCCACTCAGTTCCACGTCCTCCTGTACCACATCACTCCATCTCTTTTCTAGCCCGTGCCGCGCCCGTTTAGCCCCCTCGATCCGGCCAAACAAAAGCTGTTTGGGCATGCGGTGATTGGGCATGCGGGCTACATGGCCCAGCCAACGCAGCCTTGCCTGCCGGAGGAGCTCACCGATGGGACTTTGTCCAGATCTTTCGAGGAATTGTGAGCTCCTCACACAATGCAGCCTGGTTAAACCCAGGATTGATTGTAGGTAGGCCAGCCTAAATGTTTCTAACCGGTGGAGATGTTCCATTAGGGGGGTCTACGTTTTGCAAGCGTAGAGAAGGGAGGGAATGACTGTGGCCGAGAAAACCCGAAGCTTCGTACAGAGCGATAGACCAGGTAGCTTCCACACAGCGTTAAGCAACCGATAAAAAGATAATGCCGCTCGACTGATTCGGAGTGAGACCTCTACTGTTAAACCGGAGTCGGTCATTAGCACACTGCCCAGGTATGGGAAACTCTCCACTCTTTCCACAACTGCCCTATCACCGATTGGGAGTTGTGGGGGTGGAGTGCCCGATGTTACAAAATATCCAGGCAGGTGCTTCGTTTTGGTGGGGCTGATGGTAAGACCCCACCTCTTAGTGGCACACTCCAGTTTCAGCAGCAGCGCCTACAACTCCTCCTCTGAGTGAGCCGCAATTACCAGGTCGTCGGCATACATAACGTGGTTGACCAATAGGGAGCCATCCCTTGACCGCATCCGGGCATCGATCAGCCTCCCATTGTATCTGTACCAGATGGAAATTCCTCCAGTACAGCTACTGAAGGCTTTACGAACTACGTGGTCGAAATGGATGTTAAATAATGTTGGAGCCAGAGGACATCCCTGTCGCACCTAAGGTGTACAGGGAATGGCTCTGACTCCCGGCCACGTAGTTTTACCCAGGCCTGCTCACCATCATGAAGGTCCTTAATGAGCGTGATCAGAGGGTCAGGGACTCTGAAAGCACGAAGAACAACCCAGAGCCCAGCCCTACTGATGGTATCATAGGCCTTGACTAGGTCAATAAAAGCAGAGATGTAAGTCTTGTTGGAATTCCCTACACCTCTGATGTAGCAGACAGACAGAAAATATGGCATCTGTGCAGGACCGCCCTTTCCTGAAACCGCAATGGGGCTCCGCAAGCCTCTCCTCAGCGTGCCTAGCAAGGTGATGTTGAATAATCCTTGCCAGGACCTTTCCCGGCACACTTAGGATTGAGATGCTCCTGTAGTCCCCCTTCTTGAAGAGGGGGACCACCAGGGCATCCTTCCAATCCTGCGGAACCCATCCAGTGGCCCAGACTGTTGTGATGATGTCATGTAGGGCAGTCTGCGCACAAACGCCACCCTCCCTCAGCATTTCGCTTGGGAGATCATCTCTGCCCGGTGCCTTTCCTGGTCTCAGACTCTGGATCGCCTTCAGTACTTCCTCAACGGATGACACCTCAGCCAGCCACTCACAGGGGGTGACTTCCTCCTTCAATATTTGAGGCACCGCAGCCTCAGCAGGGTCATCCCCACTTTGTCCCATGATGTTTTCCAGACTGAGGGATTCCCCCTCCCCCAGGACCTCACGGTAATGCTCAGCAAATCTGCAAACCTGTTCCTGGGAGTCACAGATTGGATCACCATTCTTTCCCCATTCTTTCCCCATTCATTCCCCTAATAAGGTGTGGCACTGCAGGTTACTTTTTTGATGGGAGTTAAATAGGGATTTGTGATCGCGGGCCATTGAGGCAGACTCCATCTCCTCAGCAACCCGCGACACCACCCATCCTTGCAGCGCCTCACGGCTCTCCGAACCTCCGAGCGAAGGCTGCGGTAAGCCTCCTCATTCTCTGACGTGGGATGCTGTAGACAATTAGAGTGGGCCTGTCGCTTTTTCTCAACCATCCGGAACACCTCCTCTGTCAGCCAGGGTCTCTGGGGAGGTCTGGACCGCGTACCCAAAGCAGCCATTGCATCTGCATGAGTCACCGTCCTAAACCTCGCCCATTTACCCTCGACATCAGGAGGAGTGGGGGACGATGTGTTGTACTTGTTGGGTTATGAAATTTTTATGAAAATAATAAAAATTAATAATTTTCCGAAAAATGCGCAAATCGCATTAATTATGTTAATGTGTGTATTAATATGCATAAATTATGATAATGAGTGTGATTATATGCATAACTTATGATAGTCGTAGTAATTTATGCGGAGGCTTGCGATTATGTTAATGTGTGCAGTTATGATAATTTGCTTAGTTTCGTTTATCCAGAGTTATCAATCAGGATAACACGATTATCATAGATTCATTTACCGATTATCCTAGTGTGTGTTATAATATTTTAGGTCTCCATTTTCATATCTCATCACAGGATACAGTTGTCAAGAATAAGACAGTTTTGCATGGACTTGGAAGGAACACTCGATATGCTTCTGTGATAACAATTTTATTCTAACAAGCACGTGACATTCTATCATGCAGGTCAAACATGCGTCAATAATTCATGGGCAAGATTATGCAATTAACTAATATGAACGACAAAAACTTATGCAGTTGCGAAATTATGCAATTATGCAATATGAATAACGAAAACTCTTATGCATTTATGTAACTCGACGGCAGCAACTGCTTTGCACGATCAGTTGATATTGAACGCACCACCTCGAAATGGCAACCCTTTTTGAAACGCAAAGATCACTTTTTGAAAGTCTTATTCGTGTGCGTGCTGTGTGTGCGTTGTCCCCTCGTAATATTAATTGTGTCGTTAGCTTGTGTGGTGTGGGAGGATACGAACAGCTCCTGCTGCTCCCTCGCTCGGCGTGTC